GAGTGCAATGATGGTGCCAACTTGGGCCAGTGAAGCAATGTCCTCCACAACTAGACTGAAGAACAAAAGGACAGCAACTTGTCTGTTCCCTTTCCTCCGATTCCCCAGCACAGTTTTCCTCCCCCAATTCCCCAATAATATCTTAAAAAAAAAAAAAAGCCAGGGATGACCTTAGTCATGTATTTAGTATCACCTTTTCACCCTTTTTAAGGAGAAACTATGATGAAGTTTGCTAAAGTTTCCTTATGAGAAGTTCAGAAGGGATTATAGAGCTGCCCTAGGCTATAAATACTTCCTCAATATTGGGCACCATTGAGAAGCAAGTGTTACATTGAATGTTGAAAAACTGTGCACCTAAATCTGGTTCCATCACTTTCTCGCTGTGTTACTTTGGGAAAGTCATTTAATGTTGTAGTTCTCTCATTAGTAAGATTGAAATAATAATACCTAGCTCATAGGACCATTTTTCTACTTGTTCATTCAGTCAGTAGATATTTGATGAATATCTACTATATACCAGATGTTTTTTACATTTATTTTTAAATTACAGTTGACATACAGTGTTGTATTAGTTTCAGGTGTACAGCACAGTGATTATATACCTTATGAAGTGATCACCCCATAAGTCTAGTACCCACCTGGCACCATACGTAGTTATTACAATATTATGGACTGTACTCCCTAATTCCTCCTTTACATCCCTGTGATTGTTTTGTTACTACCAATTTGTACTTCTTAATCCCTTTTCCTTTGTCACCCATCCCCCCAACCCCCTCCCATCTGGCAACCATCAGTTTGTTTCATGTATCTGTGAGCCTTAACATGTTAAGTCATGTGTCCATCACAACACAAAACTCATAATATGCTATACATCTGTTCTATGTAATTTTTTCCACAAAGGCAATACATTATTTCTACAATGTCTGTATTCTCAACTAGGATGTAAGCTTCATAAAGATAGAAATCTGCCTTTCTTGATCCTTTCTGCATTTCCAGGGCTTATCAAAACATCTGGCAGGGTGTTATGCTGAGTGAAATAAGACTGAGAAAGACAAATACCATCTGATTTCACTTATAAATATGTGGAATCTAAAAAACAAAATAAGTGAACGAACAAAACAAATTTTGTGAACTTTCCAGTTTTACTTCTGTTGTTGATTTCTATGTACATCCTATTGTGGAGATGATACTTTGTATGATATCTATTTTTTAAAATCCATTGAGCCTTAATATGTGTCCTAACATATGGTCAATCCTGGACAATGTCCCATTTGCACTTGAGAAAAACGTGTGTGCTGTTGTTGGATAGAGTGTTTTCTTTATATGTCTGTTAGATCTAGTTGGCTTGTTGCGTTAAGTCCTATTTCCTTACTTATCCTCAGTCTGGTGGTTCTGTCCATTATTGAGAGTGGGGTATTGAGGTCTCCAACTATTACTGTAGAGCCATCTATTTCTCCCTTCAATTCTGTCAGTTTTTGGTTCATATGTTTTGTTGGCCTGTTATTAGGTACATAAATGTTTATAATTATATCTTCTTGCTGTGTTAAACCTTTATATTAATGTATATCTTTTCTGTCTCTTGTAACCTTTTTTGAATTAAAATCTATTTTGTCTATTGGTATAGCCACTCCTCCTCACTTTTGGTTACTATTTGCATGGAATATGTTTTTCAGTCCTTTCATTTTCAATCTCTTTGTTGCGTCTTTGGATCTAAAGTGAGTCTCTTGCAGACAGTATATAGTTGGATCATGTGTTTTTTGGTTATTTTTTAAAGATTTTTTTTATTGGGGAATTAGGGGATGGGAACAGTGCTGGGGAATTGGGAAAGGGGAACAGACAAGTTGCTGTCGTTTTGTTCTTCAGTCTAGTTGTGGAGGATGTTGCTTCACTGGGCCAAGTTGGCACCATCATTGCGCTCTTCCCGGGCGAGGCAGATCAGTCGCCGGCTTCTGGACGGCCACTCACACTGGCTGCTGGCCGCTCACACTGGCTGCTGGCTACATATGGTAGCCCATGGCAACCCACTGCCACAGGGACTGCAGTCCACGCCGTCGCCGATGACTCATGGCAGCCCAGCTCCAGGTTGAGCTGTTGTTCAGCATCTTAGCTGTGGAGGGCAGTGTCACTGGCCCTCATATGTGGGATCCGAACCGGGGCCCTCTGGCGTCCCAAGCCAGCTCTTAACCATCGCGCCACTCGGCCGGCCCTGGATCATGTGTTTTTATCCATTTTGCCAATCTCTGTCTTTAAGGAGATTTTACTCCATTTACAGTTAAAGTCATTACTGATAAACCTGAACTATTTCTGTTATTTTGCTATTTCTTTTCTATATACCTTATAGCTTTTTTGTTCCTCATTCCCTTCATTTTTGTCTGCTTTTGTGTTTATTTGAATTTTTGGTAGTGAAATGTTTAAATTCCTTCCTCATTTCTTTTTGTGTATATTCTATAGCTATTTTTGTGTGTGTGTGGTTACATTGGAAATGACATTTAACATCCTAAAGTTACACTCCTCTAATTTGAGTTTATACCAGCTTAAGTTCAATAACCCACAAAAACTTTGCTCCCTTACAGCTCCATCCCCACCCCTTTCAGTTGTTGATGTCACAAAATTACATCTTTATACATCATGTGCCCCCAAACGCAAATTAATCTTTTAAATTCATTAGTCTCTTAATTATGTAGGAAATGTGGAGTTACAAACCAAAGTTACAATAATGCTAACTTTTAGACTAATTTTTTTAGACTAATAATTTTTATATTAGTCTCTTAAATCATGTAGAAAACGAACAATGGAGCTGCAGATTGTTGTTACAATACTAGCTTTTATAATAGCCCATGTATTTACCTTTCTCGGCATCTTTATTTTTACACTCAGTTTTCAGTGACTGCCTAGTGTCCTCGCTTCACCCTCCAGGACGCCCCTGGACATCTCCTGTAGGGCAGGTCTACTGGTAATGAAGTTCCTCAGCTTTTGTTTATCTTGGAATGTCTTCATTTCTCCCTCACTTTGGAAGGACAGTTTTGCTGGATATAAGATTCTTGGTTGACAGATTTTTTTTTTCTTTTAGCACTTTTCATATATGGGCCCATTGCCTTTTGGCCGTCGAAGTATCTGATGAGACGTCGGCTGATAATCTTACTGGGGACCCCTTGTATGTGACAAGTTGCTTCTCTCTTGCTGCTTTCAAGAGTCTCTCTTTGTCCTTGGCTTTCAACAGTTTGATTATAACGTGTCTTGGTGTGGGCCTTTTTAGTTCATGTTACTTGGAGATCTTTGAGCTTCTTGAATGTTTATATTCATATCTTTCATCAAATTTGGGAAGATTTTAGTCATTATTCCTTCAAATATTCTTTCTGCCCCTTCCTTTCTTATCCTGCTGGGACTTTCACATGTATGTTAGTCTGCCTGATGGTGTCCAGCAGGTCACGTTTCATCAATCTTTTTTCTTTCCATTTCTCAGCGTTGATCATTTCCATCGTCCTTTCCTCATGTTCGCTGATTCTTCTTCCCGCTCAAATCTGCCTTTGAATCTCCGCAGTGAATTTTTCATGTGAGTTACTATACTTTTTCAGCTCCCGATTTTTTTGGTTTCTTTTGAGGTTTCCTGTCTCTTTATTCATATTTCAATTTTGTTCATACTTTGCTTTCTTGACTTTCTCCCCATCTTCTTTTAGTTCCTTGAGAATCTTTAAGATGATTGTTTTAAAGTTTTGTCTAGAAGATCTGCCATCAGGTGTTTTTCAGGGACAGCTTCTGTTGATGTATTTTTTTCATTTGAATGGGCTGTATTTTCCTGTCTTTGTAGCATTTTTTGTTGTTGTTGTTAAAAACTGGACATTTGGATCTAATAATGTGGTATCTGTGGAAATTAGATCCTCCTCCTTTCCAGGGTTTGCTGGGGTTTTTTGTTATTGTTTTCTTTGGTTGTTGCAGGTGGTCTCTGTGCCAAGGATCAGCCTGAGGAATAACTTAAGGCCTTCTCAGGTCTTTCTGAGCCCATGCCTTTCCCTGGGCATGTGTGGTCGCTTTCTAATTTCCCCTTTATATGCGGTTGCTTTCGAATGTCCTATTCTTTAGTGTCTGGCTCCGAAGATGGGAAAAAGTGAAAAATCATTGGGGGTGAAAAAGGGCACAGGCCCTTTAAATCCCCTGGCAGCCTGTTCAGCTGGAAGGGGTGGGGCTTGCAACAAGGGGGAGGGGCAACAACAGTGGCTCCCTACCTGTTTGTCTGCACCTGTTATTAGAAGCAGCAATCACCCATCAGCTGCAGAGCCCTGGCATTTGGAGGACGAGGCCCTCTTTGCCCACCTGGGCTCCTGCAAGCGGCATGGAGGCTGCTCCAGGAACCGTGCACAGCTGCCTGCCCCGTGGCTGGCAGGGGCGGCGGTAAGCTGCTGCCTTTTGTGGACTCTGCAGCTGGAGCCGACTCCACAGGGATGAAGGCCAAGAGGCTGTGCCTCTTCTTTTTAAGGCTGGTCCACAGGATTACTGATAGACTTACATGTTTTGTGTTTGAGCCTGGAGCTCTGGAACTGTGGGTCCCAGCGACAGGCTCTCCCAGGGGATGTCAGCCCACTTGCTGACTGCCTGCGTCATGTCTGTGGGAGCAAGCTGGGGTCCTGGGACAGGCCTTGTTTTTGGACAGCAGTGGTCTGTGTGCTTCTGTAGCTAAGAACTGTCACTGACGGGACAGAGCAGTAGCCGGATGAGTCAGTGCATCTCGCCAGCATAAGGACAGCAAGGGCTGAGAACCCAGGGGCTCGCGAGTCTGGGTCCTGGTGTTCTCACACTGCTGGGGGGAGCACACATCGGGCAGCCCTTTGGGGGTCACCCTGCCTCCCAATGGTTTTGCCTGTTTCTCTGGCTCTGGCAGGTTCCCAACAATGAGGGACAAAGCCAGCCCCACATAGGGTGTATATTGTCACCCAGCAAGTCTCCACGTAAGCCAAATTATTTCTAAACTGACATTTGAAAGCTGATTTTTAAGCCAAAAATTAAGGTTGGTGAGTCCTTCCTTTGGAGCCAATGGACCTCACCCCACACTCAGCCACGTGTCCCTGGTTTTCTGTGTCTGTGTTGTGAACAGGGTGGAACAGTCCAGGTCCTGATCTCTGGATCTCCAGTCTTGTTCCCAGACATTTATTGGGCATCCATGTGGTGCTGGGCCCTGTGCCCAGGCCTGGGGTGTGGAGTTGAGAGCGTGTGCCCTTGGGAAGCTCCGTGAGCGGCCCCCGCCAGTCCTGAGCATGTGCTGCCGTTGTTTGCAGAGATGTTTGTTTCTCTTACTGTCTCCATTTGACCAGCAAGGAAGGATGCTTAGAATCAGGTCTAGCCCAAGCTGTCTGGCACCAGAGAGGATGTGAGGGAGCTGTGGTAAATGGAGGCACTGCAGCTGCCCTCCCCCGAGCCTCAGTTTGCCCTTCTGTAGAATGAGAGGTGATGGAAGCCGCCTGGTAGGCCTGGTGGAGGTTGCGTGGTTGGTGTACTGAGGGTGAGTGAGTGAGGTGGAAGAGGTCAAAGCCCCGGACACTGCCATGCCTCCATAGCTGTGGTGCTGGCTGTCACCTTGTCTCGTCCATGGGACCAGGCCCCTGACAGCTGGTAATACTTACAAAAGTGATCAGTTTCCAAAGAAAATGAACAAGTTCAAGGCCAAGAAACAGGCCTGGATTTGTGTTTTTAGGTTCAGTGCCACAGGATTCATCATCAGCCGTGAGAACCCGAGATTCCATCAGGATTTGGTGTCCTTCTTTCTGTTCTTAGTATTTTATGTTAAGGTGGCCGTTGTTGGCTCTCGCCACGTGTCGTTGCTCCAGCTGCAGCCCATAGCTGTGTGGGGGGTTCAGAGGGCCGTGGCTGTGGTCCCCCGGCCCCTGCACCTCCCAGTTCTGGCGCGGAGGGCTGCCTGCTGGGAGGGGGTGTGGGGGTGTTCATGCTGACCCATTGGCCTTCAGAGCAGCACCTCTGCCTCTGTCAGTCCCGAAAGGAAGGTCTGGACTCTTCTCGGGTGAGGTTGTCAGGACCATAAGACAGACAAATGAAAGCACTGACCTGGGTCACCAAGGTGCCCTGTGAAGTCAGAGGAGAGTGAGATATGATCGGTGACAGACTGTAGGTGCCTAAAGCCTTTGGGCAAAAATCCCGGGTTACAGGCTCATCCTTGGTGAGCTGTTCCAGTTGATACTTTGTCACCCCATCTCCAGTTCGTGTTGGACGGTTCCTGCTTGCCAGGGTCTTTTCCTCCCTCTGGCCTCGCTGTCACCACCCATCTTCCTAGAGGTTCTGCTCTTCCCTCTTTCCAGTTCTGTGCTGAAGTCGGATCCAGACCTGCGTCTTCCTCTAGGTTTTTGCTGAGCGCGAAACATGTCATCCTAACTGAAGTGTCCCTTCTTTCCCGTCTGTTCACTTCCAGAGCGACATCCAAGCAAAGTGGGAACGAGGGGACTCAGAAATTCCCTGAGAGGGGGGTGGGATTTCCAGAACATTTGCTGAGGCCCCTGGTCAGAGTGGTGCTGTCACAGGCCGGGCTCATCCCGCGGAGTGGGTGCTCATGGGTGCAGGGGTGTTTGCGTGGGGCGTGTGGACCCAGGGAGCCGAGGGGGCAGCACGGCATGGCAGGCTGCTGTTACAGAGAGCAAGGCGGGGGGATAAGGCCCGTTACCCAGGAGGGAAAAGGCGAGGTGAACGGTGATGCTGTAGGATCCATCTGTGTAAAAACACATGTGTTCTAGATGCTTATGAATGTTCTAGAAAGATAAGCGCCCAAATAGTGAACAGTGGTTGCCTCTGCAGGGTGCAGCTGGGCGGAGGGGCTGGTGGGGAAAAAAGGAAGTTAAGTTTTCATTTTATATGTGCACACGGTTTTGTTTAAAGCAGTTATAGAGAATCATAATTCTGGGTTACCTGAGTGTGGCCTAGCCTCTCATTCCACTGAGGAGTGGTGAGAAGTGCTTGGTGGTGTCCACCCTTTTCACGAGCACGTGCCCAGTGGGCCAGACCCTCCTCCCGGCAAGCTCGGCTGGTCCCTTTTCCGAAGCTGCTTTTCTTTTGTAGGACGGACTGGTTCACCTGCTGTACCTCCCTCAAGCACTGTTTATGTTGGAGCTTTCTTTGAAAAGGGGAAAGCACAAAATTAAGGCCGGTGTAAAGCAAATTGTAATAGTAAGGGTTTTTTTGTTTTTTTGTTTTAAGGAATTGGGATTGGGTATAGTTGTTTCTTAGAGCTGCTGTAACAAAGGACCTTTGTGGCTTAATTAGGGGGCTTCACACAACAGAAATGGAGCCTTTCCCAGTTCTAGGAGCCAGGAGCCCGACATCCCGGCTCTGGGGGAGGCTCCGCTTGGCCTCTTGCAGCCCTTGGTGGCAGCAGCCATCCTTAAGATGCGTCACTCCCGTCTCTGCCTCCGTCTTCACGTGGCTGCTTCTGTCTCTGTCCAGTTCTGTCTTTGCACAGGTGTACTAGGCATTGGATCGGGGTCCATTCCAGTCCAGCATGACTTCATTTTAACTAATTATATCTGTAAAGACCCTGCTTCTAACAAAGTCACACACCCAAGTATCCGAGTTGTGGGACGTGGACATGTATTTGGGGGACTCCCCACTGCAGGGGGTTCCACCCCTCCCATTGAGAAGTGTTTGGAATTGCCGCACTTAGTCACTAATGATGTAAAATCTAAAATTATGATCTTGCTCATGGAAATACATTACGTTTCATAGAACGTTACAGTCTGAAAGCTTCAAAGTTAATTGTGAGCTCAGAAGCGATCTTTGAGGGATGGGGGTCCGGGTTGCGGTTTCTTTTGCTTTATCTCTGAGATAACTTTTAATCAGATGAACTGTTTTTAAATCTTCCACTTAGGAAATTGAGAGACTCGCTGAGCAACTAGAAGAAAAGGAGAGGGAGACCCAGCAGCTGATGAGCCAGCCAGGACTCGAGCGGGAGCGGGAGGTGGCCCTGCTGCGGAGGCGCGTGGCCGAGAAGGAGCGCGCCCGGGCCGCCAGCGACGTTCTGTGCCGCTCTTTGGCCGACGAGACCCATCAGCTGCGGAGGACTCTGGCCGCCACTGCCCACATGTGCCAGCATCTGGCCAAAAGTCTGGATGAACTACAGCGCACACAGGGGGCCACGGGGCAGAGGAGCCCTGAGGTGGGCCGGGGTGCACGCAGGCTTTGGGGAGGGGGCGGGGACTGGGCATCGCCTCCAGGCCTGGGGGAAGGGGGCGGGGCATCGCCTCCAGGCTTCAGGGAGGGGGCGGAGCATCACCTCCAGGCCTTGGGGAGGGGGCGGGGCATCGCCTCCAGGCCTGGGGGGGAGGGGGCGGAGCATCGCCTCCAGGCCGCAGCATCTCGGCACTCACGGAGGTTCCGCGCCCAGAGTTCACTCCTGTTTCCAAGAATGACAGCCAGCTTTTGAGGCAGAGCCCCGTCCATCGGGAGATTTTTCTCCAATGATGGAACATTCCCAAAAGTGTAGGAAAGCCCCACCCAGGCTGTAGGGGGCTGGGCACTTGGGTCTCACGCGCCTCAGCAGAGGACGAGGAGGCAGGGCTGGGGCTGGAGGGGCCGCCCTGAATCAGAACTGTCACACGTGCTTCAGCAGATGAGGAGACTGCCAAGTGAGGCCAGGGCAGCACCTGCCAGTGCCGTGTGTGTGTGTGTGTGTGTGTGTGTGTGTGTGTGTGTGTTGGGGGGGGCTGGCCCGGCCCTGGACCCCTGCAGAGCTGGGGCTGCAGCCTGAAGCTGCCTTTGGGGCACTCATGCCAGCAGCACGGCCTGCCATGACGGGAGACCTGGTCGTCCTCGGTGCTCCAGCTGCCCCCAGTGGAGTGAGGACGTAGAGCCCAGCCAGGCACCATGCAGGGTGGGCTGGGGCACAGTGGGGGGTTCAGCATCAGGAATCCCGTAAGGTAGCGTCATGGGGGCCCCTGGGCGGGGTGTCGGGAGCAGAGGGGTGAGGGGGCGCTCTGCCCTCACGCCCTGTGCAGGCGGCTCCTTTCTGGGTGGTCCTGAGGCTGCACCAGGGCTCGCAGAAACGCAGTGCCGTGTTCTGGGGTGGCCGGCCGTCCAGCTCCTCAGCAGTGGGGTCACTGGAGAGCCCTTCACGGGGAGAGGCTCCACCTGCGAGCCGCCCATCTCAGTTGGGTGGATTCCCCAAAAAGGGAGCCTCAAAAAGACAATCGTGTTTCAGAAACCAACAGAGAAGTGCATTGTGGGAGGAGGCGGATGTTCTCGTCCAACTTTGAGTCACTGTCTTTCCCTCGGGGGATCTGAGTATGGGGCCTGTGGCAGGGGCTGGCGGCAGGTCACCATCTGAGTCAGTGTCACTTCCCAGCCCTGGACTCCGCTGAGTCGCCTGGGGCTTCCCCAGCACAGGCGGGGTGAAGACACGCACTTCCTTTGTTATTCAAGGGGAATTCTCAAAAATGGCGTCATCAGCATCCAGCTGGCTGTGCTGTTAAAACTCACCAACTCCTTCGGGCCTGGGTCTGCTCACCACCACGAGGCGGGGTCTGGGACTCGGCTTCTAGGCGTGATTCCTGCCCCTGCATGAGGCAAGGTCAGGCTGCTGCAGACACAGCCACTGGTTGGCCCTGATTGTCTGCAGCCAGGATGGTGTCGTGGGCGTGGAGAGAGGTGGCCCCTGGCATCTCTGTGGCCCCCGGCCGGAGTGTTCTCGATGTACACTGGAACTAAGCTTCCCGACCTGTGATGGTGCAACTCGGGCAGGGAAGACTGGCCTGGCCCCGTGGGGGTGGGTCTGCAGGATAAGGGCAGCCCTTCCCCTGCCACCGCTGGAGGGTGTCTGCCCTTCTCTGCTTTGCTTATCCGCTGTTGGATGGCTGCCACCTGTGGCACCTGCCACCTGAGAGTCTGGGTCTGGCTTCCTCCCCTCCTGCTGCAAATGACTGTCACGTTTGGTGACCCGGTGTCTTCTCTGTCCCTTTCTTATGCAGCCAGAAGCTACAGGCAGGGACGCCTCTGTCCGGGCTGCTGTCGAGAAGTTACAGGAAGAAAACCGACGGCTAAAGCAGAAGGTGACTCATGTGAGTACCTGCACCGTTCCATTGAGAACTCTCTTCTGCACTGCAGGAGACGGTCGCCTCCGCCCTTAGGCCTCTCTGGCCGACACACACGGTCCCCAGAAGCCTGACCTTTGTGCCTAAAAGGACCTAGCAAACATGTCCGGTCACTCCCCAGCCCCGGCTGATTCACCTGTCAGTAAAGGAGGGCAGGAACACTGCACTGAGTCCTCTTCCATTTGAGACAGTCGCTGTGCACAGCCCACTGTGGGAGAGCCTGCCGGCATCGCACCTATGGAGCCCCCCGGTTCGGGGCCTTGAAAGCAGGTGTCTCGGTGCCTCCTGTGAGCTCTCCCCTCCGTCCCCGCAGGTGGAAGACCTCAACGCCAAGTGGCAGTGCTATGACGCCAGCAGGGACGAGTACGTGAGGGGGCTGCATGCACAGCTGAGGGGGCTGCAGGCCCCCCAGGGGCCCGAGAGGCCGTCCCCTCCCGAGCTGCTGAGGAAGGAGATCTCCCGGCTCAACAGGCAGCTGGAAGAGCGGGTGAACGACTGCGCGGCCACCAGGCTGGAGCTGGCGGCCATGAGGACAGCCCGGGATGCGGCACTGGAGCGGGCGCAGATGTTGGAGCAGCAGGTGTCTGCCACACGGGACACCAGGACGGGGCTTGTGGGGACTTCCTCCTTCATGGAGCGGAGATGGCACGGCCTCGTGATAGCTGAGTGTCTCGTCTCCTTTCAGATTCTCGTGTACAAGGATGACTTCACATCAGAAAGGACTGACCGGGAGCGTGCTCAGAGCAGGATTCAGGAGCTGGAGGAGACGGTGGCATCCCTGCAGCGCCAGGTGTCCCGGAGACAGGTAGGGCCTGAGTGCTCAGCGCCTCCTGAGCACACTTAGCACGTCTTTCGTTTTCATGACCTTCAAGCCCGTCTGTGTCGGCTGGACCCGATGTCCCCACGCCAGGCAGAGCCGCGTGGGGCCCGGTGCTGGAAAGCAAACCTCCCCGTGGTCCTGTGTGCATGTGGAGGCAGCTGGCATGGCGTCATGTGATGGCAGAGGTGGCTGTCCTCAGGGCCTGTCATGTACCAGACAGCATGTCCTGGGCCCCGGGCTCCGTCCTGGAAGCTTCCTTCATACATGTCTGCTCCGTGCTGTGCGGCGGGGAACCCTGGTTACCCTGTTGCACAGATGCAGATGCCGAGGCCCTGGGTGTCCAGTAACAAGACCCCGGGAACCAGTGTGTCTTGCCCTCTGCCCCCAGTCAGTGCGGTCCCTGCAGGAACCTCGGGAACTTGTTTCTTTAGCCGGTGAACGAGTCCGAAACCCCGGGCCCCTTAAAGAACTTCCGTCCTGACAGATTGGATAGCAGTGATGCCCGCCGGGGACTGACGTATGCAGGGGGAACAGGGACTCTGAGCTGACCTGGGAGCTGCCCACCTTGCTCGGCTGCTGGGCCTTGGTGATGGCCTCTGCGTCTCCCTGCAGGAGGGGTGTAGTGGGGTCAGGACACCCTTGGCTAAGTCCACAACAGTGAGCCTGGCACAGGCGGCCGCTCTGACTCATAGGTGAGCGGGTGGGGACAGCGGCTGGGGCCTGTGTCCCCGAGTCCCAGGTTGGCAAGGAGGAGCCGGCCCTGCCCAGCCCGGGCACTTGCAGGCCTCTGTCAGGGACCCTCTGGTGGCCCCGGGCAGGGGCTGTGTGCGCATGTGCGTGTCCCAGGGTTTGGTTCTGCCTGTGGGTTGTCTGGTGGCCATGCATGTGAGGAAGAGTGTGATCTTGGATTGACAGGTCCTTCATAAGCTGTCGCAAGGTCCCATGCAGCTGATCAGTGACTTGGGGCCAGAGGAGTGACCTCCAGCTCCAGGCCTGGTGGGACCGGGCCTAACTGGCCTCTGCGTCCCTTGTAGCTGCAGCCTGCGGCCCCTGGAATGTTAGGAGCACTGGATGACACAGCCAGGGAGAGTGGTGCGGGTACAGGCAACGAGCCGCAGTCCCCGGGGAGCGTCCCGAGTCGGCTGTGGGTGCAGCACCGACCTGCGGGTGCGGCCCCGCACCAGTGGTGTGAGCTTGCAGCCAGGGTGGCTGCCAGACGTCCAGAGCATGTGCCAGGCCACGCGGCCCCCTCTCCACGGAGGCACGCGATGCACAGTGGGGCTGCCTTCTGGGCGGGTCCTGCTTCTCTGCCGCTGGGCTGGGGGTGGGCTCCACTTGGGCCTGTTCCCTCGTGAGCATGGGGCGTCTGTGTGGTCTGCTGCTGTTCTTGGAGCATGTCCCCGTCTGGGCTCTGGGCCACAGGAAGCAGGGCTCGGGGCACGAACCTGAGACCCAGGTTGGCGGTGCCGAGCACAACCCTGTAAATGGACGTTTGCTTTTCCCAGGACTGCCAAGACCCAGGCTCCTGCCGGATTCGCAGCGGGAACAGAAGCCCCAAGTACTTAGAGGCCGATGCTTTGGACTTCACAGTGCCTGCTGGCCAGCGGCCTGGGGCTGGATCCCAGTGGCTGGAAGTCCCTGCAGAGGACGGGCGCCCCGGAGCAGCCCGCAGAGGCCAGGGGGACCTGCAGTGCCCCCACTGCCTGCGGTGTTTCGACGACGAGCAGGGTGAGGAGCTGCTCAGGCACGTGGCCGAGTGCTGCCAGTGAGCTCCTGGCGGCGGGACAGGCTGCGTACTCCCAGCTGCAGCGCTGAGGTCCCCGAGACCGGGCACCCGCAACAGGCTGCCGGGCTCTGACTGTTCGCCTTGGGCCCACTCAAGCCGTGGAACAGACTGGGTCAGAGGGACTGCCAACAGGGAGGAGGCAGGGTTGGGGGCATCTGTGCTCCGAAGGCCCAGCTTTGCTTCTAATGTGGGGTTTGGGTCCCCAAGATGTCAGGCCAATGCCGAAGCCAACGTGACAGCCCTGCCCCAGCCTGCCCCTCGGACGTTGCAGCTTCCTGGCAGAGGGGCCGGTGTCGAGGGTAGAAGTCCCATTTTGGGGACCAGGTTTGTGGAGCTGAGCCTGCAGCGGCTCCTGGCTCCTGGGGGCCCTTCGTGGCCATAGCAGAGCCACACGTCTGCACTGAAATACAGGGCACTGCAGTAGCATTGGTCATACATCAGAAGTTAGCACATTTAGTTCCTAGTCACTGATTTCATAATAAATGTATTTGCTGCCATGACTGCTCTGAGAGTGCATGCTGGGGGCTGGAGTTCGACCTGCTGGAGGGGAGACACTCCTACTGTCTGCCACCTCCCAGGGGACCAAGGGGTTGGCGGGAGTCTGGGTGTACATGCTGTCGCTCTCGCCTGGAACACCCTCTTGCCATTTCCACTTGGGCAACTCCTCAGGTTGTAGTGTAGGTGTCACCTCTGTGACATCCCCATGCACCCCAATTTCTGGGGACCTGACCAGAAGAGGCCCAGTCTGGGGGGTGGGGAGCAGCAGAGCAGAAAGCCCCAGTCTCGCTGACCTAGGGAGCCAGAGGAGTCTGTGGACAGCTGAGCGCTGGGACTCCTGGCTGTGGACCTCCCACAGAGGAGGGAGCTCCAGAAGGGGGATCCTCAGATCTTTGGCTGACCCCAAATTGTGCAGGACAACAGCTGGAGAGCAGACGCTGCAGTGGCTGTCATGGCAGGGGGTCAGCTTTGAATCTGAGTCTTAAGGGCTTGGTAAACATCTGGGGTTTTCCTTTGAAACCCTAAGAGGGTCACACCTTAGGAGTGAAGTTGACATCCTAGGGTAAAATGGAACAGCCCTTGTCTAAAAAAGCACATAAGTTCCAGGCAACCCACCAGTAATTCACCTGCCAATGGGAACAAAACCCATCTTTCCTCATAGACAGAAAACCCAGGACTTCCTACAATATTAACCACAAGTCCAGTATGCAATAAAAAATACTGGACACATGAAAATGAAGGCAGAAGGGACAAATTTTCAGACAAACACAAGCTAAAAATATTTATATCCAGGAGACTGTGCTATAAGAAATAACTACAGAAATTAGGCTAAGGGAAGTTATTCTGGATAAAAACAAATACGGAAACGAACGAAGAGCATGCAGGTGGGTAAACAGGAATGAACATCGACTTTCTAGCATGGTAATGTCTCGAGGGTTTTAAAACATGCAAAGACCACTTTCTAGGGGGAGCTTTCTAGGGGGAGGAGGGTGTTTAATAGACAATTTTAAGGTTTTTACATTAAGGTGGACTGTAGTGAATTAAGGGGTATGATCAAGGGTAACCACTAAAATAGTAACAAAAGGATTTAATTAAAAAGTTAGTAGGACAGAAAAATTATGTTCTTATCCAAAGCAAGACAAGTTAGGAGAGCTAAAGGAATAAAGAGATGAGACAAATAGAAAGTAGATGGCAAGATGGTAGAATTAAACCCAACTGTATAGTAATTACATTAAAAATAAATGGACCTTAGGCCGGCCGAGTGGCGCGATGGTTAAGAGCTGGCTTGGGATGCCAGAGGGCCCCGGTTCGGATCCCACATATGAGGGTCAGTAACACTGCCCTCTACAGCTAAGATGCTGAACAACAGCTCGACCTGGAGCTGGGCTGCCATGAGTCGCCGGCAGCGGCGTAGGCTGCAGTCCCTGTGGCAGTGGGCTGCCATGGGCTACTGTGTGTAGCCAGCAGCCGCAGTGAGCGGCCATCCAGAAGCCGGCGACTGATCTGCCTCGCCCGGGAAGAGCGCAATGATGGTGCCAACTTGGGTCAGTGAAGCAACGTCCTCCACAACTAGACTGAAGAACAAAATGACAGCAACTTGTCTGTTCCCCTTCCCCCAATTCCCCAGTGCTGTTCCCATCCCCCCAATTCCCCAATAAAAATCTTAAAAAAAATAAAATAAATAAATGGACCAAACACTGACTGAAAGACAATAATTGTCACACTGGATGAAAACAAGTCACCTATATGCTTCGTAGAAAACATGTACTTTAAATATAAGAACACAATGTAAAGGCTAGAAAAAGACACTATTGCTAATACTAACCAAGTAAACAAATGGCTATGTGATTACCAAAGTGGACTTTAAGACAAAAACTATTACAGAAATAAAGAGATACAATGCATAATGATGACAAAAGAATAAACTTATCAGGAATCTAACATTTCTAAATTTATATAGTGCTAATAACATAGCTTCAAAATATATAAAGCAAACAGCACTAGACAAAGGCACAAGATTGCAACACCTCTCTCAGTAACTGAGAGAAGCAGGAAAAAAATCAGTAAGGCCAAAGAATACAGGGAACGCTTACCAAAGACACATCAAGCTGCAAACAGTCCAAAGAAGTGAATCACTGAATTGGTATTTCAACCACAGTGAAGTGAAACCACAGCTCAGTAACAGAAGGATGACTATCAAATTGCCAATACACTTCTAGATGATCCCCAAGCAAAGAAAAAAACAATGTAAATTAGAAAATATTTTGAACTGAGTGAAAATGAAAATACAACCTTTAAAAAATTATGGGGCCGGCCGAGTGGCTCAGCTGGTTAAGAGCTCGCTTGGGAGCACCAGCTCTGAGCAGCAGGGCCCTGGTTCAGATCCCACATTGAGGACCAGCGACGCTGCACTCTCTACAGCTAAGATGATGAACAACAGCTCGACCTGGAGCCGGGCTGCTGTGAGTCGCTGGTGACGGCGTAGGCTGCAGCAGGGCTGCAGTGGGCTGCCATGAGCTACCATGAGTGGCCGGCAGCCGGTGTGAGCTACTGGGAGCCGCTATGAGCGGCTGACCAACGACCAGCGACCGATTGCCTCACCCAGGAAGAGCACAATGATCGTACCAACATGGGCCAGTGAAGCAATGTCCTCCACAACTAGACTGGAGAACAAAACAGCAATTTGTCTACCTGTCTGTTCCCCTTCCCCGATTCCCCAACGCTGTTCTCCCAATTCCCCAACAAAATCTTAAAAAAAAAATAAAATTATGGAATGCAGCTAATGCAGTAATTAGGGGAATTTCATAGCTCCAAATGCATATATTAGAAATGAAGGGTAAAATTCAGTGATCCATGTGCCCATCTGAAGAAACAAGGAAAAAGAACTGCAAATTAAACCCAAAGAAAACAGAAGGAAATAACAGAAGAGCAGAAATCAATGAAATAGCAGAAAAATCAACAATGCTGAGTTAGTTCATTTACATAGTAATAAAACTGATAAATGCCTAGCATGACTGATAAAGAAAAAAGAGAAAACACACATTGCTATTATCAAGAATGAAAAAAGGGACAACACTACAGATCTTTAAGATATTAAAAAGAGAATACTATGAACACTTTATGCTAATAATAAATTTGACAAATTAGATGAAATGGATAAAATCCTTGAAAAACACAACTTACCAAACTGACACAAGAAACAGAAAAGGTAAATAGCTCTATACCCATTAAATAAATGGAATCTTCAATTAAAAATCTTTCACAAAGAAAAGTACAGACCCAGATGACGTCACTGGTGAATTCTCCCACACACTTAAGAAAGATATACCAATCTTACCCTCAGGAAATAGAGGGACTGTTTCCCAACTTGTTTTATGACACCAAAAGCTGAGAAAGACAAGGCAAGAAACTGTCAGACCAGTGTCTCTTATGAATACAGATGCAAAAATCCAAACCCAAATATTAACAAATTGAATTTAGCAATACAAAAAGGGTAATACAGTATAACCAAGTGGAATTTTTATTACAGGAATACCAGATTGGTTGATGTTAAAAAATCTACTAAATGTAATTTGCCATAATGAACAGAGTAAGAGAAAAACTGTATGATCATCTCAATAGAAGCAGAAAAAGCATGAAAAAATTAAATACCAACTCATGATAAAAACACTCAGCAAGGTAGGGATAGAAGGAATTTCCTCCGTCTGATGAAGGTAAGGTGTCTGGCCCTAAGCCCTACAGCTAACGTTGTACTTGTTAAAATATCGAATGCTGTCCCTGCCGAGATTCGCAGCATCGCAAGGCTGCTCACTGTTCGCACAGGAGCTCCTACCCAGAGCAGGGAGGCAGCAGGAGGAACAAAGGGTGGAGAAACTGGGCAAGAAGTAAAACTATTCGCAGATGACCTGACTGGATGTGGAAAATCCTAGGGGATCTCAAGAAAAAGCTGAGAATTGGAAAATCGATCTGAGAATCTCAAGATACAAGGTCAATATATGACAAGGCTATTGTATTCCTATGTATTTGCAACAACTGGAAAAGCAAGTTAAAGAAAACCTGCCGTGGGTTGAACTGTATCTCCTCAAAAGAGATGCTGACCAAAAAGATGCTGACGTCCTCACCCCCAGAGCCTATGATTGTGACCTCATGTGGAAGCGGGGTCTTCGCAGGTGTACCCTAAGACAAGGTCACGCTCAGGCAAAGTGGGCCCCAAATGCAAATGGACGCAGCTGCACAGGGAGAAGAAATGCCACATGAGGAAGGAGGCGGAGCCAGGAGTGAGGCGTGGGAGGCTTTCCTCCCTACCGCTAAGGAAGCCCATCCATCCTGCTGACACTTGGATGTGGGATTTATGGCCTCCAGAACAGAGAGACTAAATTTCTGTTGTTATGAGCCAGTTTGTGGGCCCTTTGTTATGGGAGCCCCAGGAAGCTAAATACATAACCCCACTTATGAGAATGTCAAAAATATAAAATGCTTAGAAAAAGTTATCACAAGTGTGCAAAACCTCTACAATAAAAGCTATGACATACTGCTGAGAGAAACTCAAGAACACGTAGTAAAAGAAGATCCAGCGTGTTGATGGCCTGGGAACAACGTGGTCTCAGCTGTCACCTCCTCCCAAGCTGATGGACGGACTCAGTGCCGTCAGCCACAGTCCCAAGCTGACTTTCAAGTTAGTGCTGTTGTCCCCGCGTCCCTAGGACTCCACTTACCTGTGTGTGAGGACGCTCGTTGTCCCACGGCCCGTTTCCCGCCAGTCTCTCTTCTCTCAGGACTTCATTGCTGGGAGTTTTTATTCGTAGGCGATCAAGTTCATGGGTATTTCATTCCAAAATTTCTAATTCACTATTAATTCTGTCAGGGTATTTTTCATTTTAGATATTGTATTTTTTTCTTTACAAGTTTCATTTGTATCGTTTTTATACCTTCCATTTCTGCCTCTATCTTTTCCATTACATCCTTGAGCATATTTATGACTTACAAGAGCCATTTTAAGGTT